GGTGCGTCGGAGGAGGGAACGGCGGGGCTCTCGGTCGGCTCCAGGGCCCGTGAAGTGTGGAGACACCAGCGTCTTCTTCCTCCGGGCTCCCGGCACAAAATGGCTGCCGCCGCCCCAACCCGCTTCAGTTACGTTACGGGCGGCCGGGCGCTGCGCAAACTGCGGCCCTCGAAAATACCTACGCCTATTCCCGGAAGCCAACTACGCCCTAAACTCGCTTGGCGGAACAGTGCTCCGCGCGGCAGGCAGGATACGAAAGGTGCGTGGCGTTCTTTACTCGAGCCGGGTCCCCGCGTGAGGAACGGAGGGAGGAGAGTAACGCTCTCCCTATTCCTCAAAGTCTGTTACGCAAGGAGTCAACGGCGTAACCCCTTCTAGGTGATAGGGAAAACCTCGGCCGGGGCGTTCGTTACGTAAGTACACGGCGTACGCAAGTTGCGTAATTCAGACTGGCGTAGGGCAGGAAGAGCCCGTGCGTTTTGCGTAAAATTCTTCCGCGTGTTGTGCAGGCAGGATTGGCGGAGGGTCGGAGGATTACGTTAATTTTGCAGCGTAGTCGGGTTTGGAGAATACGGCCTTTCGCCTACGCGCCCGCTGGTCCCCTGGAGGGTGGCAGCGGGGCTGAGGAGACAATAACGGGAGCGCGGGGCGGCAGCGGGGGCACGGCACGGCGGGGGGAGCGGCCCCTCGGGCCACCGCGGCGGCGCCGGCGATGCCGCATGGGTCTGGCGGGTTTGGGTTGTTCCTTCGCTTTTTTCCCCGGCAGATCACTAGGAGGATCTTGGCGCGGCGCTGGGGCAGGAGCGGGAGTGACAGCAGCCATGATGTTTGCGTTCGCCTGAGTACCAGGAGGCCGGGAGAAAATGGCATAACGGGCCCCAACGCGGGTCGTGCCGGCAACCCCCGGTCACACCCCCCCCCCCTCCGTAGCTGCAGGAGGTTCATGGCAACCTCTCCAGAAAGTAAACTGGTAACTAATTCACCCCTTCGTCCACTGTGGTGGTACTGCCTGCAATCGATGGAATGTTTTGAAGTACTCAAAGGACACCGGGCACAGCATAGACACCATGTTTATAGCCTGCTAGCGTTCAACTCCCCAAATCAACCCGAAACTCCTAGCTAAAAGATGAAACAAGCCATAAGGCAATTGCGTGGCATAGGCTGTAAGTTTTCTTGTGCTGTGCTTATGCTTCTAGCACCTACCAACAAGTAGCCAGTCCGTCTGTCCTGGCACAAGAAGCCGTGTCTGGTGGGTGATCTGTGTACACCAGACAAACCAAGCCTTGGCCCAAACCACAGTCGTGCTATCATCAGCAGTGTTTTCCGGGCTATCAGATTATCAAAAATCAGTTACGCTGGCAGAAGAGAAAGTGAGTCCCCCTTTACTTTCAGACCCTTGAAACAAGTAATAGCCCGGAACGAGACACAAATTGTTCACCATTTTAGTTTTACTTTACATATGTATGTATGGCTTATGAGGGAAAGCAAAAAGCAATCTTGGTGCTTAAAATGAAGTATTGGAAGAAACCTGGGCCTTTCTAAGTGGGTGGGAGGGAGTCAAGTGACACTGTAAGCTCTCACTGACACTCGGTACTTGGCCATTAGAAGTGAATGCCTGCTGTGGGACAGACTGGCACATGCAAAGGACAAGAAGCTACATGAAACAACAACGGCTGATCCATTCCCGGCTCTCCCAGATCAGCCAACCTCCCTGCCTTTGTCTCTCCTTTCCACTATGAAAAACAGTGCTTTACCTCAGGAAAAATATCAAAGATACATTAAGAAACCACTCCAGGAAGGCAAACTCTAGCTCTGTCACAAGGTAAACCCTGGCTACAGCATCAGGCTTTTCTTGGATGAATTTCCGGTCATCGCTGCCTTTTTACTTCGTGTTATCTCACATGCATTAGTTAATCCAAATGAAAAAATTCTTGTATCAGTGAGGACAAGCTCTCTAACCAGACACCAAAGTTAGACCCATTCTAATTAGCATTTTTATGCAGGAGGACAAAGTAAGGCCTTCCCTTAAAGCATCGAATATATAAATTGTTGAGTTTATTTTAAAACAAGCAATTCCATGAGCACTGGAGGTAATGCAAACTGAATTGGTATTTTCTCCCCTGACCCCCCATTTCTCTCTTCACTCCCGGCTCCTTCGTTTGCCTGCTGTGACGTGCATCTCTGGCGAGGTTGGAGCTATGCCTGTGCTGGCTGGCCTGTGGGCACGCTCTCTCCAGCCGAGTCATAAGTGCCTTTCCCTCGGCGTAGGTACCGGTGTCAGCCTCTCTCCCCTATCTAGCCACTGGTTTTGTTTTCTTCTGCTTTTTAATAATAATATTTAATAATTTTAATATTCTTACTTATATTAGGAGACTGACAAGGCAATTAAAGTGTGTTTCTTTAGAGAACTAGACAAAAGGTTTTCAAATGTTGGGTTGCATCCAGTTCATTCCTCTCACGAAAGATCAGTGAGATTGTTGAGAGCAGGGTTTGATTCAAAGCACCCAAACATAAGCAGAGTGCTGTTCTAATTCGTAATCTTTATTTTTAATAAGAAAACATTCTCTCCAAAAAGTAGAAAATGCTAAATAAAAATACAAAAATTACCTAGTCAAGATAAAAATGCCTAAAAACATTTTTGAAGTAACTTCTTCGTCTACGGTACATGAGAGTCCATCAAGTCCTTGGGCTGTTCCTCCTGCCACTGCCTTTTCCATCTATTTATGTCAATTTTATAACTGAGTTTATTCCAATTCCGTTCCATTTTGCACTATAAAATTCTACCACATAGACACTCTCTTTGAAAGCAACTAAAAAAGAGTATATTAATCTCATGTGAAAGGACAGCTTTGATTTTCACAAAATGTAGGAAAAGGATTCTTTGAACAATTCACAAGCTTATTTCTTAAATCTTGGTCTGCTGAAAGTTCAATTGAAAAATGAAGACCCTAAATGAACCAAATTCTACTAAGATCAATAAAGCTGAACTGTACATGTAGAGTTCATCCCAATGTTCACCCAAAATATCTCAAATGGTTCCCAAAAGGTAAAAATGCAGCCAGGCACAAATCTTCATCCCAGCTGCCCGGGTGGTTTTCAGCTGTACATTTACATGGGTTTTCTGCCTATTCTTTGGCATCCCCAATCCCTCCAGCAGTTATTGCAAATGTGGCTTCGTTTTCAGGCATCTCAGGGCTGGAGGGGGAAAAAAAAAAAAAAGAACAAGGCACTTGTGGGTTTCCCCACGTTAAATGCAGTTGTGAAAGAGTCCCCGAAATGTTGTAGGTGTAAGCAGCCTGGAATACTTCAACATCTTCATACTGACATGCAAACTGTAGAACGGGATCGATATTATCAAGATCAGAAAATGTGAAATCCACCTCTTGGAAGATGACGAACACAAGTGAGGGGAATGGAGAAGGTGCAGGAAAGGGAAAGATTCTGTCTGTGCAAACTCTCATTTCAATTTCTTAGTCCCTGACCAGAAACAGTGGTCTCCCCGTGCAGTTCCACTAGTACGATTTTTAGTGACTTGCATCTGCCACAGCTTACCAGGTAAAGTGATACTAATTGTGCCAGCAAAACTTAGTAATTTAACAGCTCTAGAATTTTCCTGCCAAGGGACCACCACTCTTGCCAAACTATTTGATGGTCTTCTTTAAGAGATGAGCATCTAGGAGGATTTATGATGGAAGATTACATAATTTAATGTATGCAATATGCAAGACAACTTTAAGTCTGTTAATCGGTTTGTCCTTTCAGATTTTCTCTCAACTTAGCATCCAGAAACGCGGTTAGTTTGAAACCATGAATCAGTTGTCAAATTATTAAATTTCAGTACCATGAACTTTTGTCACCTTACGGTTGCTCATAACACAGCTTCCTTCCTGTGAAGGAAAAGTGATTTACCTGTCATATATCTTTGCAATACGCAGCTCCCCTCTCCCTTTCCTCAAACTAATCCTGGTAGTCGAAGCATGAGCAAGGATGTGGCCCCCAATGGGCTTTTTTGGGTCCGCCTGAAAGCTAAATTAGCAAGAAAATTGTGATGATTCACTGTGCAAATTCCATAGGTTAATACCGTGATTAACTGTCAGATGAGGCATATTGAACTCAGTAATGAATAATAAATAGGTAAATATATCAAAAAAGGACGTTAACACACTTGCCTCGAGAGAGGATGTTCAAATGCTCGATGCTGGCATAATTTTCCTCTCATTAAATTCAAGAGGCTCAAGAAATACACACCTTAAACTTCATATATAAGCTGCTCCAAAACAAAATGGGGTGCTTTTTCAATACTTTCTATGGCTTGTTCTCTTCCTTCAAGTCACAGTGAAAGAAGCCATCGTGCCAGGCAGCAGATAAACATGAAAAAACTCATTACGAAAACTGAGAGAAACCTATAGGTGTCATCCATGAATGATTGATCGTACCAGAGGGACCAATGACCAATCTGAGCCTTCATTTCAGTGCCTCTTGCTCCATACGATCTCAGTTCTCATCTCCGTTACATATGTAGTACAAAAGAGAAGACATTTAAAAAAAAGGAGAGAGAAAAAGTATCTTACGTCATAGTTGCTCCTGGATCAGCAGTCATCTGGTTGGTCACAAACACGGCCACATTATATTCTGCAATAGAAAACAATGCAAAGGTGGACTGTATGCAGTTAGAATTCCAAAATATTCTCCCATCCATGCTAAAAGCAAGGCTGCTGCTGAAGCACTTCAGATTTCAAATGAAAGAGAAGCAAATATTCTTTATGCCTGATGGCTGGAGTTAATCAGGAGACAGCCTCAATTTGCTCCTGTGTGACTTCAGCCAAAAATGAGCACTTTTCAGAATTCCACTGAACAAGTCTTTCTCAGTTCCCATCCTCTCTGTTGGGTCCCTGCCCTCAGCCCCCTCTACCCTCTTTGTCTGTTTGCCTTTTTTCTTTTTTTAATTTACTGCATGAAAAAAACATTTACTCATTCCTCATCAACATTTCTGAGACATTCCAATGAGGAAGAACCCTATTCATCCTGTCATCATCCCTCAGAGTATTGTAAAGTACTGGGAACATGGCAATGGGCACAGCTTTTTTATCTGTCTCTGCCTTCATCCTTTTTTCTGTTCTTAGTGTTTCTTGTGTATTTAGTCCATCAGAATTTGGGGAAGAGAATTTCTCTTACTGGATATTTGTCCAGTTCTACAACCTATTCTCTCATTTAGGACTTCTCTTAACAGTATTTCTAGGAAAACTCCGAATGTTGAATAGTTCTAAAGATTCCTTAATCTGTCATCTTGAAATAATATATTATCAGTTTGATCTTTTTGGTAACTGACAGAGGTGTAAAGTGAGGAAAGATTCCTGGGCCAATGCCTGGTTGATAATACACTCGGTCTACGAGGTGGTCGTGCTACCAACAGCTACTGCTTCAGTAACTCCAGTCCATGTTTTCCAAATTTTGCAATGTTTCCCTTACCTTCTGATATTTTTTGGAGCCTTGACAGCATCTGAGCGAGTTTCTGTTGTCGTTCAGCCAACTCTCCACGACCACTGAAATCCACACGGAAAAGTGCCATTATGGAGTCAATGATCTGCATTGTAATTATGCTAGATAAGTAAATATAGTGAAAGAAAAAAGGAAAACTTATTCTGAAAGCAGTAAGCATACAAAAAAATTAGTCTTGTACCAATAGCTTGAAGATACCAGCTTCCTCATGGAACTTGGCTGCTACATAGTCAAGCAATTCCATCTGATGTTCACCTGGTGGGAAGTACAGTTGCCAAGTGAAATTAGGACCAGAAAGAGCGCTGAAGGAACAAAAGCCTGAATTTTAAAATTCCACTTTAAACATCTGCACTGTTTATATTTTCACTGCCAGCAGTTTTAAATTCAGTGCCCAATAACAAGCTACCTGTACAATACCCAACAGTGCCTGTGCTTCTGCAGGTTCCAGTCTCCACTTGCCCAGCTAACAGAACTTCTTTGTGAAAAGCTTTACAACAAAACTATGCATGAAGACAACTTTTTTGTTAAGAACTGAAAAGCAATATAAACATTTGCATTTAATGTTAAATGACACACAGAAATTGTATTTATCTTATTATTCTTGTTCATACTGTACTCTCAAAATAAAAGTCCCATATAAAACTTCCTTGAAGTTTTAACACAATGTCATGTGACAGAGCGTGTTGGAGCTGTCCCTATAAAGTTCCATTCACAAGATCATAGAGAATTTCTCAACAGCATTTATAGAATTAGCTTACATTCAGGCAATCGTGGTTACATTAATTGGTGCTTTCCTTGCTAAGATGCTACGCTGACACTCGTCATATACATGGCAGAGTTCACTTAATGTTGCGGCAAACTGCAAAACTTTATTGTTTACGTAGTGCAGCTGAGCTAGAATACTTAGGCTGAGCAAGTACAACACCAGAAACAGAAAATGGAAGCAAGCTCATAACTTCTTTTGTTAGCAACAAAACATTCTTTATGATCCTCAGTGGGCAATCTCAGTTAATAAACTGAGAACTATTAAAACAGGAGCCTTAAAGAAAAAACGTACATATCATGCCAGTTGCAATAATGGTCTTACTAGTATATGCACGTGCGTACAGCACGTTGTCAAGTACTGCATCGTGGTCGACACTGAAGCGATCAGCAATGTCACGAAGACGGTCTGGTCGGCTGACGTTAGTCAAAGTTAAGGATTTCTCTTTGTACAAACCATGCTCTGAAAATAATAAAACTCCATTCCAAAATAGAACTATGGAAAACAAAAAAGAATATTTATTTTGATCCTAGAGAAGACTGACTTTTTCTCTTCAGACTGCCCTACATACCCTAAAGATAGCTTAGGGCTCACGATGATAATTCTTTTGTGTTTAGGATTTGAGGCGGGGGGGGGGTTGACATATGGATATCTGTGCTCTAGGAATTTAGCTGTGAGCAAAACCTATTTATACACAGTCTACCACAGATACGAAGTGTTAAAAATAGTGTTTAGTGCTTAGATGAACTTCTCTTGAAGTAAAGAGAAAAGCTTCTATCACTTGTATCATTATCAAGAAGGCATATTAAATCTCAAAAAAAGCCAGTTAAAATAAAATCTGTATCCCAACTCTAATTTTTCCAGCTTGGATTACATCAAATGACAGAGAAAAAAGTCACTGCCTTGTGGGCCACTACACACTGTGCTCTCCAGGCTTTCTGTGTCAGTCATAATATTTTACATGTATGAAGCTATCATCTGGAGCCTCCTACTTGCTTACAACATAATGAACTGTCCTTCCAGTTCATCATACCTGTAGCTTTCAACAGTCCAAAAGATACAAAGTGTTTTCAGTATCGATGAAGATAATCTTTCCACCCGTGTAGCCATTTGGTCCTGGAAGCTGAGCTGTCACTACAGTGAATCATAGACGATCAAAATGAAAAAGCGGGAAAAATATTTTCTTACTCCCTCTATTGTTATATTTTAATAAAATACGACTGCTTATCCATATCACAAAGAACCACCAGTTTTAATCAATGTGGAAATCATGAGTATCTCAAGTCTTACTGCCAGCTTGAGAAAAAACCCAAGCCACTCTTCTCGACTGGAGATCAGATGAGATTTAATGGTGTCAAAATTGTGTTTTACTCAGTACCAGCACTAAATCTGTATATTTTATATTGAAAATAGGTAAGGATATTATTAATAAGTTCTTACTCACAAAGCATCCTCTTAATCCTCTGCCCAAATTAATGGTATTGATTTAGTAGGGTTTTTTCCCAGCTCTAACTCATATGATCAAAAATTCTTTGGATATGAGTATTAACTGATATGTGAATAGTTACTGATTGTGGGTTTAGTCTCTTTGGAGTGAATAAGCTAAAATACTCAATTCGTTCAGTTGCAATCATTCATGCAAAAGGGTATGAATCTGCTGACCATTAGACTGTACTAAATGGAAGAGGCCTTATTTTTCCAGAAGGTGCCATAATTCCCTTTATAATACAGGAGTTCATTTAAGGGAATGTCTGCCTATCCAGTGTCTGGTAACTATATTCCAGCAGCATTAATAGTTACATTGGTTATTATTTACTACTATTTACACATTGAGAGATATCTCTGGGAAATCAGGGTCCTGCTGTATTTGGCACTGCCCAAATATGGTGACTGCCAAAGTCTTTGTTTATCCAGTTACTGTCAGCCAGTGGTATCCTTTCAGTGCCCTTTCAGAATGTCATATTCAGCAAAACCTCTTGAAACCAGGAAATTAAAAGAGTTGCTGAGAAAGAATCTTGCCTTTGCCCTTTTCTGAGCAATGCCCCTGTCCGCCTGTAACCCGTATTTGTGCTCTGCTTTTCCAGATGCTGTGTTTCACTGGTTTCTCTAAGACAGTCTATTGTCTTCTCTCTCCTTATGGCAAAACTTACATTGATGTGAGCAGTATTAAAAAGTAATCATTTATGAGTTCTCTACTCAGAGACAATTAATGGAGGCAAGAGTCGCCAAAGTCTGTTTCACTGTATTTCTAGAGATAAAAGATTCTGACTTGTCTCTATGTGTTGAATTCTGATATAGTTGTAAAGAATGGAGAAGAAACAGCTGTCTGTTTTAAGGTAGTACACCTACCACAAAGGGTGTGAGATAGCTGGGTTTTGCCTGTCCGGAACTCTGTTAAATAAAGAAAAAGAAAAAAAAAAAAGGTCAGGGTTTCTTTTTCTGAGTTTCCCAGGTTCAGGAGTTATTGCAGTTAGAAACACTCTTACTTACAAAATTCACCTCTATCTCTACCTTTTAAAATCATTTAACCCCAATTTATAAATCATATTCTGTGCAGCAGAAATGTGTTACATGAAAAGCAAAATCTGAAATGCTTTCATTTGATCATGCTTGACTGCTAAGGTCATTTATTCTTTTCTGTGTAGAAGTTAAAACCATGTGGCACCTGTGGAAAAGCGTTAATTGGGGGGGGGAGGAAATGGTTAATTCCACTGACCTGGCCAAGTTTCATTTTCAGTAAAATGATCAAGGAGAAGCTTATGAGTTTATTAATCTCATTATATCAAATCATGTCAGTCTGCAGTTTACCTTTTCTAAAGGGAAGAGTACTGTGTTTTATGAACTCTTATTGTTGAAGTGTAAACCACTAACTGATCAAATTTACTATAATAGTAGCTTAATTGTGATTTCAAAATCTTATATGAAATGCAGTGTATCCTAAGTGTGCATAAATGAAATACCTTTTGTGGCAGTTTTGTTACTGGAAAGGAACACAGATTGCATCAGGGAAATCTTTCCTATATGACACGTTAGTAATAGTATTAATAATGCTATGTTGTACTGAATCAGCATGCCCCAAGTCTAATGATTACTCAGCTCAAACTTAGCCTGCAAGCAAAAGAAGAGGAAAAATGGGAGAACTGTAAAAGAAGAGAATTCTTTCTTCTTACCCTCATGCAGGTACTCATCTTTATGACTACAATGTGATAAGTTTGATAGAAGTAATAATCCAGCTTGATTTAAAATTTAAACTCAGTTGCAATTCTTTGTTCAGTAATGCTCATTTAATGTGGTTTTCTCACCTCCAAAGGCCTCAGTGATTGCCATGCTTTCGATCCCACCACCCAGAAGTTTACTGGAGAAAGGGAGAGGATTATGATATAGTTAAACCCACAAAATCACAAGAGAAAAGTAGAAAAGAGAAATTTTTGCTACTTTAAGAAAAGTTATTTCTGCCCTAAAGCCCCTCACTTGATGCATTAAGTGCAGGGCACTAAATGATCACTGATTCATAAAGAACTAACTCTGTCTCAACCTTCCTTTCTGTGTGCAAGAGAAAGATCTGTAGAAATTATTACTGGAAAGAAAGAAAAGAGAAAATACCTTTGAAAAGATAACATTCCATAAAAATATCTCAAGGGAGGTTTTGAAGACTTATAATTTTGACCTGAGACCTGCAGGTTGTTTTGACTAGGTGAAAAAACAATGATACGTTCAGGATTTCTGGATGCAAACTCTGTTTATTTACAATGAGAGTACAAAGTCCAGTCTCCCCTCAGAAAAGGAGTTGGTTTTGTTGCTTACCAACGCAGGCATCTTTGAGCCAGCACTAGCTCCAAATGCAACGTAACCTACGTGTCCTAGCTGGACATTTGTTGCTTTGTATTTTTGTGTCTCATTAAAGGCAATAAATACGATTATTGGAACAACTTGGACTAAGGAAGGATTTAAGTAGAGATCAGCTTACTCAAATTCCTGGCTGCCAGTAGTAATATGAAATACCATCCTCCGTTTTTCACTGTACTCAAAGGCGGTCAGGAAGCCTGGTTCCTAGGGAAGACCGGAGAGAACACGAGAGGTTTATTCTAGCTCTAACCTGAAGGTAAAGTGCAACATCCCACATAAATATCTTCTCTCCACCCTAGCCTCATTTACACAGGTTGGGTATGAAAAGCACCACAGCATTTGTCTGGTTGTTGTAGAGTATAAAGTATTATTCCTTTAGAGTAACAAGCAGAATAATTTTCAAAATTATCTTGATGATGTGGTGAAAAAACCTGTTAAGAGAAATGTTGCACAGCATTTTGGAGGGGCCAGCAAAAGTTTAAACCATTGCGAAAGTGATTGACTTACAATAAGCTTGTTTGCGGCTTCTTTAATCTTGTCCACTTTGGCCTCTGAAAGCCCTTTTACATTGCACAGTGCCCGTCTTGTGGTCATCTGGATTCCTTTGATTGTGCAGATCCCAACTGACTTCAGTTTTTTAATATCTGCTACGTTCTGTGAAGAAAGTTCCCTTCTGTGAGTACTCGTGACAGTTAACAACTAGAAGGCGAAGTAAATCTTCGAAACGCATTTTATTATATGTTCATATGTGTTTGTATTTTCACCAAGAAAGAAATAGATTTACAGTACTCTTTGTTATGACACCAACAACAGAAAACTTTGAGTAATATTGGTGTGAGGGATCATGGTGCAGAGATATCCTGGCGCTTTTGAGACAAAGATGTCTTGGGTCCAGTTGTATTTACTTGTCCCTGTTTGGTGGCAGTCTTTCTAGATCCAAGCTGGTAATGAAGAAACAGTACGGATTATTTCAAACAGTGTGGAGCCCAACCTAGTAAACCCTGTAACACTCAATCTGTCCTTGGTCCCTTAGCACAGATAATCTGTAAACCAGATAATCTGATCATGGATAATTGGGAGCTGAGTCGCAAGGATCGTTGGAAGCTGACTCTAACTGCTGTGCTGTTTCTGCATGTTCACAGTATGTCCAGATCCTCCAGATCCGACCAACACTTTGGGCTGGAATGAACTTACTAGGTTTTCATAAATTGGGTACAGCATGACTTCAGTCAGCACCCTGCTGACACATTTTGCCTCCTCTCACCTCATTTTATGATTCTGACATCACTGGAAACTTAAAGGCAAGCAACAGATTACTCACAAGAAAACATACCATGTGAAAGGTTTGGGATAATACTTCAATTTGCCATTTCCAGCCAAGTTCTTTCCTTGAAAAAAACTATGAACTGGATGTATCATCTATTTATCTAGAGTGTGTGGGTGCATAGGACATAAGAATGGAGAGGGGCTATGTTAGAAATTAGTCATGTTCATTGGGAAGCTTACTTCTCATCCTGTGATGTGTTTTTTGATTATTACATTAATAGAGATGGATGAGGTAAAATCGGTCACGAATGAAAATGACTCGTCCACCCAAAAGAATATAATAACCAGCAATATAAAAAGGATTGAACCATTTTATTGTGTTTTTCTATTAAGACAACAGACTACTGCTGCAAAGGTCTTTTTTCTAGACCAAAACTTTAAATGCATTACCCTGCTTCTGCATTTCCTCAGTGGCTCTGTCTTTCTGGTCACATCAACCTTAAGGCTGTTCTGCATTACAAGTCTCTGTGTGGTAGACCTGGTTATAGAAGTTCTTGTTCTCTCCCTCGCAGATACACCTTTCACCAACAGCTCATGTACCAACCAAGGCCCTAGGACATACTCCTTCTTAGACTACAGTTCAATACTATGAAGTATTCAGCAGTACTCCTGGCTTAACGTACTGACACACCTGCCCCCTTATACCAGCTGCTTGTCCTGATCCTCTACCTTATGTTGTATGCCTCTGAGGTGGAAAAGGGAGCAGACTGACAATTTACAAATAAAAAAAACAAACCACATTTTTTGTTGTGATAATTTTTGGACTAATTGATTCACAAATCCAGTTCACAGGGTGACTACAAAAGCAGATGTGCCAGAAGAAGGGATAGCATACTCCAGGGGCAGGAACGCTCAGGCAAGGCTGTGGGGTCACAGCACCTTAATTCCTACCAAACACTTTTGAACATCAAACCACAGCCTAGATTGTGCTAATCTGACTCCCTTTGCGGCCGCACTGTCAGATCTAGTAAATATTTCTGTCTCTACTCCTAGGAAAAAAATTCTAAACCCACAAAAACTATTTCTTTAAGCAAATGAATTTAACAGGTAAGGGCCATCATATGTTCACACAAGATTTTAACTGGCACAGCCAAGAACAAAAACTTCCCCTGGGGAAGATGTGGGAATAACCACTTGGAAGGAAGAATAAGAAAAAGGAGTGGGAAACCCTTATTAAGCCAGAAGACCAGCCTAAGTCATTATTCTTTATTTTCAAGATCTTTCATACTTTAGTATCATTCTCTGCATACTATTCCTCATTTAATATTGACAGGCTAGTACAGCTCCCTTCCAGCTCAGGAGGTCAGCCTCTTTGGTCAACTTGTTAAATTTTTAACACAAGAATTTGTGTATTTTTCCTGTGTCGTCCCATAGTTAGAGCTCCCAACCTCATGATCCTCCTTCAGAACTCTCTTTAAAACTGTCAGTGAATTGCCAATAAAAAAAGTTGACAACAATTATGCTGCTGACATGCTGAGCCCAGCAACTATAGTGCTGACTAATGCTGTCTCATTGTGTCTGTGTCCTCCCCATCTGTAGCTTTCTGTAGTCATTTATATTAGAGTTAAATCTTACATTACTTCAGGCAAACCCAACTTTTTATTCTGCTTCTATAACACTGAATATAATCGGGTTCTGATCCATGAGCCAGTCTCCTAGATAAACATATAATAATAGTAATTCAAATAAATAGGTGATGTTTATGTGATAATAATGATGATGATGATAACGATTATAGGAATTCATGCTGATGAAGAAAACTAACCACTTATTTCTCTAGCTACCAATATTTCTTCACTCCCACTCTACCCCTTCACCAGCATGCTGGAAATAGTATAGGAACAATTGTCGCAGTGTAATTTCACAGGCATCAAAAATGCAGGAGTAATTACAAAGATTGGCAGGAACAGGAAGTAATCTATCACACAGTTTTCAAATAAATTAGCAAGTAGTTGGTTTTTCAAGAGTGCTGGGTGCTAAATACTTTCAATAACTTGTCACTTTATTTAGGAATCTGATGGGAATGAGATTTTCTGAAAACCTGTCTTATCACCAAAGGCAAAATTTGTCTTCACATAACTGATTTAGAATTTATTGCAAGGAGGAATTTCAGTTACTTGTATCAATGTGTATACACTTTTGGAGAAATGACCTTACAATAGCTTTATGTGGGCAATTCTGTGTCATAAAGTCATTGCTAATACTTACAATTCCATGCTTCTGTAGCAGGTCAATATCCTGAAAAAAGGATTCCTAAAAAAAAAACCAGCAGAAAGAAATAGATTTTGCTTTTTCTTGTAATTACATCTATCTCATTATGTGTCTGTTTCAAATTTGTAAACATTTAGATGATTTTCCCTAATAACACGTAACTTGTTGGACTACCCAAATAAGCAAAGCCATAGTGAGCCAAGAAGGCCTACACATTTCCTATCACCTTCTTCATAAAGTGTATCTTTGCAGGCCAGCAATCCTCTGCTGTGCTAATAAAATTTGCATTATGATCATCATCATCTTGATTTTTTCTGCCACAGTTCCTCAGCTTTTTCAGGCTGATGACCATTCCTTGGAAGCATAAAATTACCTGATAGTCCCCTTGCATTTAATATAGAAGTGTAAAATATAAAGAAACAATGATAATCCCATTAAAAACTGTGCATAGCTTTTGAAAGGTTAATGACGAGCACTTGAAGAGCAAGGCTGTACAGGGACTAGGAGAGTGAGATCTTCTTGGTATTAGACTGGAACAAAATTTTAAATGCATTGGACTCCCTGATGGTCTTTGGGGACCTCCTGTCTCTCCGTGGATTTCATAACACTATCAAAATACCTTCAAACAAAATTTGCTGCACATATTTTTCAATAAACCATAAATTTACCTCATCATCCTGGTATCCTGGTTCTTCTTGGACTACTTGATCCTCCATGGCTTTCATTGTGAAAGAACAGGCAATAAAGTATTGATCACTACTGGGAAATGCAAACAAAGATAGTATTGGGGTGGCAATAAATGAGTAAATGACTGTAAAAGGACTTTTAAGAAGTCCTTGAACTACAGAACCTTCTCAGAATGCCATCACATATGGATTTAAACTCGGATTCTCCTTCCAACTCTTCGTTATCTGACCTACCAGACCAAAAGGAGAAAATCTGCTGCATTACTCTCAGATGAACCAGTTTGGCTAGAAAGGGTTTAACAGGTATTAGGAAAAGAGATCTCATTCCCTTGTGAGAATGTTGGGTCAGAGTGTGAGTTTGGAGGTGGGAACATTTTCAATGATTTCTCATTAGTGGAATTTATTCTGGTAAGAAAGTTAAAGGCAGTGTATTTTTATAACAAAAGTCAGCAGAGTTGCAGACAGAATGGGTAGCGGAAAGGCTATGCAACATCTCAGCTTCCCCATCTTTATGTGACAGAAAGCCCACAAAACAGTGCTGTTGAGAAGGCTACAACTCCTTAGTCATGTATCTTGAGAGTAGACTATAAAGCTGTATTTGTTTTCAAGTTCTTGCTGGAGTTCAGAATACCTAATAAATGCTGAAGATGTGCAAGTAGTGCCTGTAAGAAGTATGTTTGCATGAAGAGAATAAAAAAAGGGTAATAAAAATCTGAGGCTTTTTTTATGCAAAAATATACACAGAGAACTTATTTCACGGGTTTTCATGGTTAACTTCCCATGTCTGTACTCCACTACAGCTTCACTGCCCTCTTTATCTGTCTTCCTATAAGCAAGGTCTAAAGCCAGAATAGGCACTTACCGATAGTATGGTCAAATAAAAAGCAAAATATTATCTCTTTAAATTTTATGAATGAAAGAAAAATTGATACAAAGTAGTTCCTTAGAAATATGATCTTACAAGCTGCTGTATCAGTTTTGTGATTTTGTAAATGGATAGGTTGCTTCTGTCTCAATTGTGAGCTTGCCTTCACTGTTCTAGCTATGGCTGATCAAAAGCTTTGTAAACTACCTCATCCAGATGTGTATACATGTTTGCTTGCTCATCCTTGTTAATAAAATCCATGAAAGGTAAGACGGGTTTATTATGAAACTACAAGATGGGCGATGTCTAACAAAGGACGGGATAATTTAGACTAAATATCTGCAAATAGTTTTTTTCAGCTTCTAAATGGATACTTAAGGTCTGCCTAATTTGCTTGCAAGAATCTTGTGTATACAGAGGATGGGAGAAGTGAGAAAGAAAATATTATAATTTTAGAATGATCTTATTTGGTTTTGGAGTGAAAATACAATGGAGTCACTTCTGTTAGTATTTAATGGAAATATTCCTATAAAATCAGTTGTTTCTGATAGTGTCAGGATATATTTCATTTCTATTTCAGAACCCTGACAATTATGGAATGAGAAATCATGCCTTCACATCATGCTTTATATCAATCAGAAAAATAATTAGAGTAAATAATTAATTAAAAAATACTTGAAGAGATTTTAAAAACCCCTTAGCTTCAAAAACTGAAGGAAGAAAAACAAGTAATGCAAAAGGCATTACAATCCCCTTCTCCCTTAAAAATATCCTCCTGAAACGCACTATATAATCCTGCACTCCAAGCACAGCTGAACAGGTCATGGGATCGTTCTCCTACTCCCCATCCTTAGGCAACTGGCATCTCACAGCGGAAAAACGAGGCAGACCCAGACCTGTGCCTTCCTGCAGGCTATGAGGGAAAATGGAGAAATTATACCACACCCTACTAAAAGCTTTAGGGATGAACAAAATCCTCCTGTTTAGTGGAGAGTCCTCTTGTTGCTGCTGCGTTGGCTCACCGAAGACTCGGAGGATTTCAGCCACCGCTGCCTGCAATGAACCAGATAAAAGAGTGTAAGTCTGAGACAACACAGCAAATCCATGAAGAAATGAGGATCTTTGTGCGGAAACACTTTTGTGGCACCTCAGGTGCCCCGAACCCTGCTGTTACCGCCCTGGGAGCTATTCATTAGGATACATGAGCAAGACCTGTGCGCTGCACTCCTTTCAACAGATACAGACTGTCGGTGTGACAGGGACCCGGCCCCAGCACATAGTGTTGGGTTTAATGAGCTGGGTTTGAACTGACAGAAACATCGCAGCTGACTTGACTGGAGCGGAGTTTGGGCCCCTATGCTAGGGGCAGGAGGCAACCTCACCTGCCCCGAGGGGCACCCTGGTGAAATTTCACATCTATGAACTCGGAGGAAAATAAATGATTAATCATATACCAACACACGGATTTATTTGGCTTTTCCCTGCCAGCTGCCTTTTCCGGGGATGTAAATTTCTGTTCCCAAAGGGTGAGGCACGGTAGAATTTCCCTCCCCCGTGGAGCACCAAAATTCCTCGTCAAAATTACAAAAATTATTAAAACATAGCTCATCCCCGGGCACCTTCGGGAGCGCGGGGCTGCGAGTGGTTACAGCACCCCAGCGCGTAGGGATCTGAACCCCCTAAACCAACCCAGCTTGCAGTACCTGCCCGCCCGCCTTCCTCCGCCTGAGGGAACAGACCCGGCGCTTTTCCCGCCGCAGCGGGGGCGGGGGGGGGGAGCTGCCCTCCCGCCACAACGCAGCGGCAGATGGCTGTCTGCCCGCTCGCCCCGGGGTGC